TTCCTTCATGGTTGCCAACCTGGAAACGTTTCTTCACTGCCGCCGGCCGAAGCAAGGTAATAATGACGTAGCAAGTTCACCGCTACGCCTGACAATGGGCTGCTTTGCTTCACAAGCGGTCTCAGCACCATTTAAGCCTAACATTGTTTACTGCGTCGTAAGCCTATGCCTATAAACAAATAGTCCGCTCACAGCGATATTCTCACCGATATAGCTGCTGTAAATAAGATTGCAGTTCTAACGTATTGTTGAGTTAGGAAAATATAGCGTCATGCATTCATGTTACTTCGTGCGAGAGATTTTTTATCACAAGGATTTTCGTGTGCTTTCTCTGCCATATCTCTCGCGAAACACCGGCAAGATGAACAAAATAAATAATCACTGTTTCTAAAGAACGAAACACACACACACACACACACACACACACACACACACACACACACACACACACACACACACACACACACACACACACACACACACACACACACACACACACACACACACACGCGCGTTTTTAATATCGATACACGAAAACTTGCCCTTGGTGACGGCTATCTGCAAAGTCAGCCAGATTACTTCCAGAAACCAACTTCTAAGACAACGAAGAAAAACATGCCCATATAGCTGGTCCGGCTGGACAACACGCTGACCTCCGCGTATTGAGTGGCAGTCACAGTCTGCATGCCAAAAAGCGTGTTCTGAATGCGAACTTCGGCGACTTTGAGCTTTATCTATCTATCTATCTATCTATCTATCTATCTATCTATCTATCTATCTATCTATCTATCCGCTTATGTTTGGGTGCTCTCGCAGTCACCCCCTTAACTTGGCCGTGAATCAAAATTAGCACGGGAGGATAAGAGAGTTTGAGGAATATGACGCGCTGGTCACAATCCCGTCGCGTACGTTGTCAAGCCCTTCCCGCCAGACAGTGGCACATACCCACGGGCGGCTTTGTGCCGCCGGTATGCGGGTATGTGCCACAGGTGATGGACACTTGGTATCTACCCAGGAACGACGAGAACACACATGGACAATTTTAACGCGCGAGCGTTACAAAATACCTGACATATAGGTAGCGCCGACCCGAAGAATGCAAAGGATAAACGCCAGGGTCCCAGTTGGAATCGAACCCAAGCCTTCTGCGTGGCAATCAAGCATTCTACCACAGGGCTACGCCAGGTCTAGGAACTACTTTTCAAATAGACGATAATCTTCGTGAAACGTCAGTAGTGGTTGCAGTGCTGCCTGCCCAGTTTTATAAACATTACATATGTACTGCTTTGATACAGCCGTATCGTCGGGTTAACGTCAATTGTGGTTAGCTGCGAACTGAACTTTATTTATGTAGCAGTGTCCAGGGCCAGCATCTTCGCGGGCATCAGCGCTTCATATCAGCGTCTAAGGTGTTGTTAATACGCACGTTTCAGTTGACATCGTTGAGCAAGTGCAAACAACTGGGGGGTCATATAAACATTTGCAACTCTTCAACATATGTCTGCGCGTGCAACATTCGTACATATATTTAGCGTCATTTCAGGACATGTCGCTCAAAAAGAACAAAAAAATGCAACACGGTCACCTTCCCTCTGCATGCTTCACATAACGTCGATTCCCAGGTACGTGCCGAATTTTTTTTCTTCTATTTTCTACTGGTTAGGATAAACAGAACTTGACTCGCTAATCGACTCAGACGGCAGGGGCACAAGTTTTTTTATATTTTATTTTTGTCACGGCTTATTCTGGAAGTAGAGCCGTTTTCAAGGCTTCCGTTTTGCTTTTATCGAGACACGCTGCTGCGCTTTCAGACAAGCGTGCGAGTCGTGCACGATACGGTTATCGCGTCAAAGTTCAGTCACAAGCTCGTGATTATATATTGTGACTAACGCTTCGCTATCACGCTAGCACATCTATAGCGTGACGCATTCTCAAGTATTGATATCGAGTATCTGTACCAACAGGCGTCGAGATTAGAATGATGAATCAATATGCGAATGAGACTGTGACGGTGGCCTTTTTTTTTTTTTGGTTCCTGCGTGTTCTACAGAGGCCTGTCTAGGCGGTCGAAATTTCCGGAGCCCTCCGCCTACGGCGTCTCTTATAATCATACGGTGCTTTTGGGACGTTAAACCCCACATATCAATCAAACACCAATAAAGAGGCCCGTCTCACAAGTACAGCGATGCAGATATTCTGTATTGTGCAACAATTCTGGTACAGCAACATACCCCCAAAACAGATCTACATGTCACGACATAGAAGAGGCCTAAGAATTGCTTTCTCGAAAAGGTACCAGTGGTTTAATGAACAGCAAGGCGCTTTGGCGATCTGTACAGCGGTACATACACTGCGACTCTCAGACAATGTAGAAAACGCTCTGCGTACTTTTTGTTTAGCACCGTTTTCGACACCGTTTGATTCCCCGTTTCGAGGCTACGTTCAAAGCACGTACACGAATGTTCGAACTTGACATTCTTCAGGGGGACGCGATGAGGAATGGAGCCCACTGACTTCGCGCCTTAGCAACAGCACGGCAACAATCCCCAGTGGCAAATCCAGTGCACGGGCCGTTACAAACAAACGAACGTTGACACCAACCGCCAACGAGGAGTGTGTTTCTATCTCGCAGCTAACACCGCAACTATCGCGACGGAGAAAGTTTTCAGCGGGGCAAGGTCACTTGATACACCCGGCAGATCTTACCCCGTAACTCTCTCTCTCTCTTACACACACACAAACACACACACACACACACACACACACAAGGGGGGGGGGGCTGAGTAGTTAGTTAAAGCCCCCGCCAGCGCTTTCCAGATCATCGCAGCTACAAAGTTCTTCGAAGTGAAAAACTTTTGACAAGCGTGTCAAGAAAGATTCCAGGCGGCGACAGGCTAAAACGTGAGAGTGAGAGATTATCAGCGTCGACGAGTCAGTACGACAGCGATCTTTTTCGCCGTCCACACCCGGCGTTTGGAAAGTCAAAAACTCGACGCTAAACGTGTCCTAATGGTTCCGAAGGCATTTGTATTCTTCGCTTTTGCTTATATGCCATCTCCGCTCAGCGGTCACAAGTCATCACTGGCAGATATTACAACTCCCCGCCCCCCTCTTATTACGTTTCCGACGCCAGCACCCCAGAACCGATTCTCCCCCCCCCCCCCCAAAAAAAAAATTAAAAAAAGCACGGCCCTGATCAAGACGACGTTGGATGCCGAGCGTATTTTAACTCGGCGGCCTTATCAATCTTCTTCTATTGTTTTTTTTAAAGCTAGGGCACAAAAATGGTTGATCCGACGCAACATAACAAATGCGACGCGAATTTGCAGTTGTATTCTTGTCAATGTAACAAGGTTCCTCTGTTGTTGTTTTTTTTTTTGAAAGAAGTGAAGAAAAAATATTCAAGCACCGGGGTGTTACTTTCCAAAACCAGGATAAGATTACGAATGGACCGAAAAGAAGAGGGCAATTATGGATCGCCGGTTACGTGCACCAAAACCCAAATACAAGATCGCTCTTGTTTTTTTTTTTTTCTGCACTTGCAAATAGAGGTTCTTAGTTTTTGTTACGTGCCAATACCAGGATATGTTTATGAACGACACCGCAGCTGGGATTCGATGTCGCGACCCTCGGGTTAGCAGTCCACAAAAACGTTCTCGAAGCAAATAGTTGGTCCACGAACTCGTGTTTTCGAAGTGATCGCTCGAATACGGTCTTCAGCGTCCTAAAGTGGTGGTTTCAATGTACTCGGTCCAACTAAGGGTATGCCGTAAGCGGGATTCGAACCAGCGACCTACTGCTTACAGATGGCGCTAAGCCGCGGGACGAGTGGAGAAAAGAAGGCGTGTTTTTGGAGCTGAGAACACGAGGGCAGCATCGTTTCCGGTGTCTCTTTTTAAGCCCGTTTATTCCAGATCTATCCGGTCGCGTACCCAGCGATGTTCTGGGGAAAAAAAAAAAAAAAAAGGTGGCGCCCGCGCAGACACGCAGCTAGTACACAAACCGGCAATGACGAAAAGTTCGGGAAAACACAAAATGATAAAGGGGGTAAAAAGGAAATTAATGTATGACGCATCTGGGTCTCGTCTCCACGAGGAGGATGATCGCTTGTGCGGAAGACAGATTAATCAAAGTCAAAGAGGAGAAGCCAAGACGGGAGGCCGATTCGCCCCCACACCGCTGCGTGATCGTTTATTTGTCGTTTTCGGGTTCTGGCTGCCTAGCGCTCCACCGCAGGTCGACAAGAAACACCCAGGAATGACTGAAAAGACCGCGACACAATCTATTCTAGGCTTCGCACGATATATTTATTGTTTTTGGCGGTTTACACTGTTCAGACATGCGATAGCGCTACGACACACGCAAATCTGCGCTCGATTTACGGCTTGTTGAACCCCAGGCTTGTATGAATCGGTTGTCTGTCCGCGTTCTTTCGCTTTTATATTTCGGCGACGGCGGAGTGTTAGCGTCAAGAGTAAATGAAAACGCCGCGCACTTGAGTTCAAAAAATGACGGCCGGGAAATAAAATTGATAGAGAAAAAAAAAGTAATGAAAATCATCGCGTAGTTCGTTGCTGCGCCAGAGACTAATGCAATGGCACGCTCGATTGACTATTGAACCGCTGGGCTAGCAAGGTCGTGCCCCGATGCTGGCTCGCCCAACAGAACCCAAAATAATGAAAACTGCAGCGCAGCACGAATGCTATGCCGATGTTACGGAATTTCCAGCACGTCGGACGAAATTTTGCGCACATCTTCTGTCTCCATCTTATGTTGCCGCACCGCTTTTACTTTTTTTTTCCTCACTCCGTCCCCGTTCGTCCACGGGAGCGGCTTGCCATGTCTCGAAAAAAACGGATACACTCGCGGCGTAAAAGAAGTCGGCGCAAAAATGTATCGCGGCGAGTGTGACAGGTGCCGTGGGAAGGTCGCGTAACAGCACGTGAGTTTTTGTTTGTTTTGTTTTTTTCCTCCCAGCCGCGAGATGTTTCAGCACTTACCTCGCTTTCATCCTTCCGTACGCACAGACAGGCTGCACGTCGCCGAAAGCCGTCCCCGTCATAGGTCCGAGTCGAGTTGGGCTTCTCTTTCATGCTTCGAGGAGGAACGAACACGGGCCGAGCACTCGGAGAACGCGAGACGGATGCAGCTGCCCTCACGATTTCATCGCTGAGCGGGGGTATCGCTGAAGAAGCGGCACGCAACCTTTCCGAGCCGTGCTCTCGCTTCGATTCGTCTCACGGCCATTTTCGAGACTCGGGTTCGATTCGATTCTACTGTCCGCAGTGTGTCAAGCACAACGATGAAAGCACACGTTTTGTGACGTCACAGCAAATCTTTTGCGTGCTTACCGAACAGCTTACTTCAGTTTCGTAGTTGCGAACATAAAAAGTAGAGGTACGCATTTGCCCTGTAAAAAACAACACCGTAAAAGCAATAAAATTGTAGTATTAGCATAAATATTTGATCTATTTTAGTGTCTAAAATTGTTACATTTTGCCCGAGGCACAACAAGAACTCCAACTTGCCCTACTACGTCACTAGGGTGCGTTCAAGGCGTCCACCTAACCTCGCTGATTACAAAAAAACATTTGAACCAGCGCGCTTATCAGCACTTATCAATGAGCTTTCACTTACGACGGGCATGCACCTATCAGACTTCCGTTTATTATGAGTCAATCGCTACCCGTTTGATGTCTTTGAAGAAAGAACGTTCGAGATGCCCACATGTCACGATGAATCGAACACACTCTACCTCAAGATGTGCAGTAGTTTCGCTTTCAATTCATTCGCACACAAAAAAATACAACCTTTTCGGCTATGACGTTTGCCAACATCCCTGCAATATATACAATAACTAGCTTATTTTTTATTTATTACTATTGTACATATATTGAAAAACACAGCCATTTTAAATTTTCAACAAATAAGTGGTTTCGGTTTTTGTTATAATTGCACGTTACTTTGCGCACGCATCACCGTATTGGCATTTCATAAGCGCAGTCGCAAACTATCGCCTATCGTAATATTACTTATATTACTTATTTATTGAGGTGTTGTTTTTCCAGCTTTCATTGACAATATTATTGGCTGTGAAATTTTGATGCCGTCCGATGACGATTTGATGACGTGCACGTTCGCATGCATCTAACTTGGTTGTCGTGTTTTGAAATTCAGATGATGTAACCGCGATCATAGCACAGCTATCACAGTACATGCAATTGTCAGTGATCGTAGTTCACTTTTTTACAACCGCGCATGGCAACTGCAGCAGCGTAGTGCCACAGGCGTCGCAGGCGCCTGTAGAGCCCTCTGTCGAGGCACGAAAACACCAAAATTTTCATGAGCAATGTTTTGAGTAGTGCTAAACCAATTCGTTTCGCTTTTAATTTCCTTTCGTTTTCTTGTATCCGGCCTCGCAGGGACTCCCCGTATCCTCAGGTAAGGACCTCGTACGCTATTCCGCGCCTTCTCGTCGCAGCTCTGAAGTTGGAGAGCCTTGATGACGGGCTCGGAAAGTGATTTCGCGATCGGTCGTCCCCGACTGTCTGCCGGCATCGTATCGATGATACCCGTGAGAAATATGCGGCCCTGCAACTCCACATCTATCAATCGCTATCGCAGCCCCATGCAATGTCACACCTACACTTTTCCAAGCCGGAACTGCGCTTATCGATTACGTAATCTACGCGTAAGCGGCCTCACTACCTTGACGTGAGCACCAGTGGTGGTTCCTAATTTTTTTTTCTTCTTTCATTTCTTTGCCTTAGCGCACCTTTGTAACGAAAGCTACTGCCTGTAAGCACGCTTCCACTGTGAGCGCAATTGAGTTCGGTACTTTTTTTTTTTTTTTAGTACGCTCGTGAGCGGTTTTCTCGTGATGACACCAAAGTTAAGGAGTCGCGCGGCTGCCTAGCCGAGATAGTCTGTATCTTTACGGTGGTTGGGGGGAACGTTCAAAACGACGGTCCTTGTGTTGACGCGTCTTTCCCAACACCGCAGAACCTTTGAACGTCGAGATGAGAGCGACGGCCCGGAGCTATCGCCCCGTGGAGTCCGAGTAAACGGGATGACCCATGGCTGCCGAATCTGGAGGAAAGAGCGAAAATGTCGTCTTGGAACCTTACATCCACCAGGTGAGTTTGCTGAATAAGCCACCTGTGTGCAGCACTCAGCAGTACAGCTTGGAGTTTCCTGTTGGGGTAGCTGAATTCGTGTGTGGGGAATGTGAACGCCGTGCTTATTTTACTGCTTATCAGACAAATGTTCGAGTGGCATAGCGATTTGAGAATGTAGTGTGTACTCGGATGGTTCTGATCGAATAATACCCTGCGCTTTTCTTTTGATCACAACATTTCATGCTGTTGCGAAATGAGAGAAAATAAAGCGACGAATTTATGCGATCTTAATTCCTATGCGGATTCGAGGAGCGCGATACACCATCAGATGTATCCCCACCTCTCTGAATTATTTCATAAAAACTCCCACAATTTGGCAACATGGTGCTGGATAATCACCTGAAGGATAAGCACCTGATTGAAGTGATCTTGTAAGAAAGAAAGCAAAGTACGTCTTTACGGTGTGGTAACCCAGATGTTCCCATGGAAGCTGTGACACTAGCCACAGAAACTTCATGATGAAAGGGCATTCACTGATCCACTTCATCGACAGAGTTCCAATCACCTTTATCGAATGATTCATAGGGAAATACAAGCACTTAAAGCTTTAAGTCCATGCACACATGGGTGAGCACGTATCATTGGCACGTTATGCCGCATTATTTCGTACACTGGTTGTCCAACACGGTGGTGTAGTGGTTATTGTGCTCGGCTGCTAATCCGAAGGTTGCGGGTCGATCACAGTTGTGGGGGTCGGAAATGGTAGTGGCCTATTAAAAACATCATATGGTCAAAATTCCGAGAGCCCTCCACTGCGGCGTCCCTCAATCATATCATGGTTTGGGAAAATAGCACCCCAGATATTTTTTCTTGTATGCTGGTGTATTGCTTGAAGTACCACAGGAGAAGTCACTCAGATATACTAATGGAGGCATCCTTCAGCTCTCTATAATAATACCAGCTTCAGTAAGAATGTTATAAAAAAGCAGAGAACAGAATGAAGTTCCTCATCACGAAAAATAAGTTCCCGCAAATGCTAGCTTTGTTGACCATCTGAATTCCAGGCTATTCTTGCGGACAATACTAGTTTGTTTCTTATGTTCAAGACATTACAGTTAAAACTTGCTATTTGGCATGATTCGAAAGCTCAAAGGAATGGTGCAGGGTGGACATTTAAATTAACTGAGGCAATCATCCTTTTGAAGACAACCGTTAGAACTCGTCTCTGTCACTTGAATTCGACAACTTAGTTGGGTTGACATGGCTAATTCAGAGGCAGACGTAATAAACTAATCTGTCATTTCAGGTCGGGGGACGGTCGTCGATGCTCTGTCTTGATGAGTTGACGCTCTGCAAACCACTGATACTGCAGGAACTTAAATTCTACGAAAACCTCCCGGATGTTCTCAAACCTTTCACATCCGAATACAAAGGTATGTCGCTTTTGTCGGTAATGAAAGTGCAGATCGCTTGAATGGGCCGGGCTGTCGTAGGCTGTGATCGTATGCTTTTGTTTCTGCTTGGCGTAACAGAGGCAAAAGCACATGTGTAGCACAAACATGTGAGCACGAGTTTTCGCCAAACAGCAGTTTCTTCCCTCTGTTCTTCGACCTCCTTGATGATGATACTAATGCAGTCAAAACTACATACAGCATAGCCAACCGAAGCACGTTGAGTACACACGCATGCCAAAGAGAAATATTTTGTTTTCCGAGTCCTGGCAAAATCATGTGTAAAAATTGAAAAAGCAAAAGCTAACGAGAAATAAAATGGGAGACGAAAGCAATGAAAAAAAGAAACTTGATGATGATACTAATGCAGTCAAAATGACATACAGCATAGCCAACCGAAGCACATTGAGTACACGCGCATGCCAAAGAGAATTATTTTGTTTTCCGAGTGCTGGCAAAATCACGTGTAAAAATTGAAAAAGAAGAAGCTAATGAGAAATAAAATGGGAAACGAAAGCAATGAAAAAAAAAAAATGGAAAAGTATTTTTAAAAAGCAGAAAAGACTGGAAATGGGAATAAGAATGAAGGAGAGCAGGAAAGAAAAAGGAAGCCGAAGAGAAACGATGAAAGCTGCCCAACTCGGTACTTCCCTCAGGCTGGACACCGCTGGTGTGAAGCCACCTCAATTTTCTTGCGGGCAGGTTGTCTCTCTCTGTCGGTCATGTGTGCCCCCAGTTTATTTTCATTGCCCGCAGCTAATCTTCCCACACTCGCTGACTCAGTCGTCGCGCTGCTTTTATAGGTGTCGTTGAAGTGGCGTTACTGGAGGACCCCGATGGCTACCTGACACTGACAGCGCATCCCTCGTACGACCTCCTGAAGAATGGCTGTGCCTCTAGTCATACCATCGAGGGCACCGAAAGCCTCACGAGCCTCAAGGCCAGAAAGTACAGGTACACGGAACCCCTACATTTTCATGCTTGACAAACGTGGTGGTTTGAAAGGACACTGAACCGAAAAACGATTTTCCTCGTATTAGTAAATTACTGTTTCATAATTCCAGGAACACCGTGCTTGCTGTGAGACGTTGCTTAGTAAACAAGAAAATGCAGGAAGAGAAAACGAGGGTGATGACACTACCTTGAATTTCTTACACCAAACGCTGCGACGTCATAGATGCTGACGGCATCTGCAAGGACCTACGTAGCTCATGATTGCGGCAGCTGAATTTCTGGTGGCGGCGGTAATGTTGTAGGCCCGTGTGCTCAGATTTGGGTGCTCGTTGAAGAACTCCAGCTGGTCAAAATTTCCGGAGCCCTCCACTACGGCGTCTCTCATAATCATATGGTGGTTTTGGAATGTTAAGCCCCACATATCAGTCAACTATGTAGCTCATAATTGATTAAAATAAATTGCATTGGCATCTGTAGAGGTGAGAGACTTTACATATCAACTTTTTAGAAAATTTCATTAAGCCGGTATCATGAAAGTACAAAAATACACTTTGGAATCTGGGATGTAACTCGTGAAGGTGTCGATGCGAAATTTAAAAATGAAAGTTTAACCATGATTTTTTCCTCTATCAACAAACCTATGGTGAAATCAACAACACTAGAGTTCTTTGATTATAATTTATCAGTTAAAGCTAATTGTTTTATAGCGGTGTCCATTATTTGTTACACGTGGTGCTGAACTCAAGATCGCAGTTACAGTTATTCCAATGGGAAAAAGCCAGAAGAGCCATTTGTATCTCGTATCATTGCTTGCGCTGTGAGGGCAGACAATGCAGTGAGCTGACATATAACACACAGAGAACGTAGAATGTGACATTCATCATCATCATCAGCCTGACTACGTCCACTGCAGGACAAAGGCCTCTCCCATGTTCCGCCAGTTAACCCGGTCTTGTGCTTGCTGCTGCCAATTTATACCCGCAAACTTCTTAATCTCATCTGCCCACCTAATCTTCTGTCTCCCCCTAACCCGCTTCCCTTCTCTGGGAATCCAGTCAGTTACCCTTAATGACCAGCGGTTATCCTGTCTACGCGCTACATGCCCTGCCCATGTCCACTTCTTATTCTTGATTTCAGCTATGATATCCTTAACCCCCGTTTGTTCCTTAATCCACTCTGCTCTCTTCTTGTCTCTTAAGGTTACACCTACCATTTTTCTTTTCATTGCTCGCTGCCATTGCTCGCTGCCATTGCTTGCCATTGCTTGTCAATAAATCCAACAGACACTCAAGCATACAGGGTGTCGTTTTTTTTAACGGTGGTGCTCTAATTGTGAGATAAATTGAGATGAATCGAAGTCTCCCTTTCCATCTGCGAGATTTGACCTGCACCTTCCGAATGCTTACCAATCCAATGCACCATCCAATGCTTTACCAATCGAGCTAAGATGGAAAGCGTTTCCCCATCTGCTTTGTTAGGTATTTCTGTGCATGTAATCCTTAAGAGTGTTAGTTAGTGCATCTCTTAGCCTAGGCCGTGAGTGTGGAATGCTTCTTTCTCACCAGGCATGTGATCTCTGCAATAGGCAGCATCTGATCTATGAACCCACATATGCTAACCCAAGGCATTAAGTTTGCGGCAGGCCTGATGCCTTCGGTCAGCATTCGAATGTTTGTGTCAAGCAAGTAAACGAGCTCCCTCGCGAGAAAATCGGCTGTGTAGCTGCCTGCTTCGCTGCGAATGTCTATAAAGACTAGAGTCTTCTGCCGTCCTTCTTTGTGGTGAATAGCGTCGCATTTTCAACACAGCGCATGAAACACTAAAGTCTTTAGAGTTACATATCTATGTACTTTACAGTAAAGGAAGACACCACCTAATAATTACATGTTGATGTTGCACCTCAGATATGCGTAACATCGGCTTTTTAATCTACATTGCTCACAAGTAAGAACAGTGCCACGAGTTAAAGATGGCTGTGCATTCAGCAAGGGCTTATACTTTGGCTGGGTGGCTGAATTGCTTGACAGACGAAAATTTCTGTGTTTAAGTATCCCAAGAAAGACAATCATTTTTGAAACTGCACTTTTTATTCGCCCATTGCTTGTGATTGCAGGATGCGCTGGCAGAAGGCCGGCAGCATCGAGATTGAGCCGGTTCTGATGGACGGCACGCAGCTCTTTGAGGAGGATGATGGCAAGGACAGCTTCACGACGCACAACCCGTGGATCGTTCGCTGCCACAACCTGCAGATTCAACGATTCCTCTCGTCATCTGGGAGCCCCAGAGGTATGCTAAAGCTGCGTTCGCGCTTCCCTGGACTTCATCGCACAGACTCGCTGCTGACTGCTTCTCAAACTTGTCTGTGCACAGTCTGTGATTGTCGGGGGGGGGGGGGGGCAAGTCTAAGCTACTGCAACGGTAAAGTGGTTACGATGTTCAACTGCTGACCCAAAAGAATTGTGGTTCGATCCTGGCCGTGGGGTAGTCACATTTTAATGGAGGCGAAATTCTGGAGGCCTGTGCACTGGGATTTAGAAGTACACTGAAAAGCCTCAGGTGGTCGAAATTTCCGAAGTCCTGCCTCTGCAGTGTGCATGATAGTCGTATTGTGGTTTTGGCTTATAAAATCCCGGGAGTTATGATACTACCCGAGTTTAAGTTAACCCTTCTGTGCCCCAGAGTTCCTGCTCCTGGAGAATTTGACGGCCCGTTACACGTTTCCCTGTATCCTGGACCTGAAGATGGGCACCCGGCAGTATGCAGACGACGCTTCTGAAGAGAAGCGCCGAAGCCTTGACGCCAAGACGGCCGCCACCACTTCGAGTCCACTCGGGCTCCGGATTTGCGGCATGCAGGTGAGTGCGAGAAGAGTCCTTTTCCATTCCTCTTCTTTTGGTGCCAACATCCTGCGCTACGGTTGGGCAAACAATGTCGTGGGACTTATAATCTGCTCGATGGGTGATGCACTGCCATTTTTTCATGACATTTCATGCTGGCTCAACTTCATTTTCTGCAATATTATTTCACTGATTTTTTTGACGCAAACAGACTGTCTGCTTGTAAGTATGACACCTAATAAAGGATACAAAAGTAAAAAACAAGTAATGGCAAGTCCTTTGACATATGTAGCTGTGGCATTTTTGAGTGCCATTTGGTATGGCAGATATATGAAAAGCAGGTAATGCCAGAGCAGTTCGAGCAAGAACATTTAACAAACTACTTGAACCACTTGAACAAACATTTCTCGGATGGGATGGCAGAGCGATTCGCATGGTAGTGCACATTGCGGTGTTGTCGCTTGAGCCACAACTTAAACGCATGGCTCATATGCCCTTGTGCTTGCTGTGCTGTCATCGTGCAGAGAATGTGTAAAAGGAGGATTTCTGTCTGGGGTGGCTGTATTCTCTTCCACCAGCGTTTTGTTGAGTTGCACATTATCGAATCCAATGAATTAGCTGTCCACCTTAATATACGTGTCTTGTTTTAGGTGAAACCATCTTTTTTTTTTTCCGCTCTATTGAACGTTCATAGGACATGAATGTGACACTGTCCCGTCACCGTCCAGGTGCATTGCTATTGCTACTCTGAGGCCACAACTAGATGGTAATGGGACAGCGTCGCATTGATGTCCTGTCACAAAGTTCACAGTCTTGTGAACCCGCTGCTACAAAGTGCATGACAGGTAGACTTCCAAATATTTGTGGTCACTGTAGTCTCGGACAGTTTCTACCAGCTCGTAATCTGACATCTTATCAATACTGACGACATGATTGTTCGCATAGAAATAAAAAAAAAACCCGAAAAACATTGCAAAGCTGAATGTGATCGAGGGACACTTCGTGCACACGCGGGGAAACCACACACGTGCGTATGGTGTCGAAAAGAAAAATCGAGGGACACGGATACCACAAAATACTCATATGGAAAAGTGCTCTCCTATGCGGTGAAAACTCTAAGCGTAACAAAACAGAGGTGGATTATCTTTTTGTTTTTGGTTGGATGGGAAGGAAGAAGGCACATCAGCACATGCGCCCGCAGCACCAAGAACACAGACGTCAGCTCGAGGGGCACGGGCCCACCTCACTCACACCTGCACGAACTAACGAGTGCTTGCAATTGCCTTGCTGTCACTGGGTCAAGCTGAATTGCCAAATTTCGAGGCAAAATTTCTGGGTTGTTGGCGGTGAAAATTTGAAAATTCGTTATATGAAGGGAGTCTCCCACTTCGTTTCATAGAGGTGGCAAATACATGTGATTCCATGGTGTAGCGGCAGGGAACAGAAAAGCATTGCAACATGGAAGAATTCATTGTGTGGAGTTTCATTATGCAACACCAAAGAATTAATTGCATGTAGGTTCATCACAGCCAGGTTTGAAGGCCCAATCGCATGCACGCAATTTTGTAGCGACAAGTGACCGGATTCGCTGTTGCGGAGGCCCATCTGTCTCCGCCGCTTGTCGCATCGTGCATTTATGGACAGCTAGAAAAGATCGCTTGTAGTCCAGAAGCCAGCGTAACGATTTCCAGCAACATGGCCGCACTCCCGGTCCTTGCTTCGGTTGCAATTCGCTCTCGGTGCTTGTTAGTTCAAGGAATGCATGCTATCAACCACCTATTTCACATTCCCATCTCGCGCGGAGACTCAAAGAGCCGCCGTATTTTGTCCTAAATCTTGTTATGGAAGGTTTATTATGATGTTTCGGCCACAGCTTGCGACAATTATGGTCGCTTGCATAGGGTTTTATTTATTTTATTTATTTATACAATACTGCAGACCAATTTAATGGTCCAAGCAGGACGGGCAGAAAAAAAAGAATGTTCACGCACATACAATGCAATGCAATGTAACAAAAACAATGAAGCAACAAAACGCAGAATTCACTTGGAACTACAAAATAAACAAGCCACGGTGAAACCGACCTTTCGCACAAACATAGCAGGGTTTCCAATCCAAATAAAACTAGAAAATCTAGAAAACCTTGGCAAATAAAACTAGAAAACCTTGGCAGTAGATAGCTGACTCGAGACATGCTCGTTTGCTTTCTCCACAGGTGTACCAACAGAACCTTGGCTACTACAAGTGCCACAACAAGTATTTTGGCCGGTCCCTTAACGTGGAAGGCTTCCGGCAGACCCTGTGCCATTTCCTGCACGATGGCATCCGCTTTCGCTTTGACATTCTGCTGCCCCTCATTGACCGGCTCCAAGCACTCACCAAGGTTAGTCACTCTCATTTCATTTTCATTATGTAATTATCACTGAGCATGGGTATGGCCACAGTTGGCTATCAGTCGCGATAATTGGTTACAACCAAAAGAAAATAAACTGTTGACTCCACCTACAGCCATCGCTCTCCCGCTCGCAGAGACTTTGCTTAACTGCTGCATTCAACAGCTTCTCACTGTTTCAGATGGTTGATATCTTACAGATTCACCTTTGTGTCACTGCTTACAGGTCTAAAGATGGAAATATACATTCAAGGGCTCGTTTTTTTTGTTAGACACAATACTGGTGAGATCTAAACAACAATAATGCCCAAGAAAAGTATATGGGATGTTATCAGAAGTAATTGTAATGCAAATGTGAAGAAAGAAAGTTAGACGCAAAGATAACTTGCCGTGAGGAGGGACGGAACCTGCGACCTTCGATTAACGCGTCCCATGTTCGACCAACTGAGCTATCACGGAGGCCAGCCCCCGTCCACTTTATCGGCTATGTATGTGCAATCAACATGGCAGTGTCAGTCGGCACTGCCAGTAGACATGGCGGTAAGTGTAGAACACTCTTTTATCAGCCTGTTTGGCGTCGCGTAGCCCAGTTGGCAGCTGGCCAATAATTCCTCGTGTATTAGTACCTGAAGGCACCAAGTCTGCCAGAACGATAGCCCCACTATGGGTGAAGGAAATTAGTGCACATCTAAGGACTCATTTTCTCTTTTAGATACAGTATTAATGAGATCTAACAGACAATCATGCCAAGGAAAGTTTAGGGGCTCTTATTGGAAGTACGTAATTGTAATGTAATTGCGAAGAAAGAAAGTGGATGAAACTCACCGTAGGCTGGGACCGAATCTGCGACCTTGCTTTCATACAAGGATTCTGCACCCCAGTTCATCTCCCTGTGAATTGAACTCCTGATAAATGGAGCATATTTTCCTGGTCCTTTCAGGTTCTATTTATTGAGAGTGTACTGTACTTACATTCCTGAATATGCTAAGTTGTACTCTCGAGCAACTCTCACCTTGACATCTATCTTTATGCAGGCAATAGAGCAGCTGGAATGTTTTCGTTTCTACACGAGCTCACTTCTCATCCTGTACGAGGGCAAAGGACCCGACGGGAACTCAAACGACTGCAGCGAGGCGCCACCGCCGCCGCCAACCAAGGAGACCGCGTTCACCAAAAAGTCGCCACCGTCGCCGGTGGATGTCAGGATGATCGACTTTGCCCACTCGGTGTACAGCCCAAAGGACGAAGGGCCCGATGAGGGCTATCTGTTTGGCCTGAGGAACCTCATCATGCAGCTGCAAATTCTGAAGCAGGACAACCTGAGTGCCGCTGCGGAGGCCCTGCAACTGAAGTGTGATAACGCTTCCACAAAGAAAATAGAAGTGGCTTCAAGAGCAACAAACAAGTGAAACGTTCGCACAACCGAGAGTGGTTGGTACGAAAAATCTTTGAGTCGGGTGCTGGTTCTGCTGAGTGATTCCTGGCATTGACATAATGCAGTAGCGGTTCAGTGGAAGAATGACTACCATGGGAAAAGTATGAGTAGCTGAGCCAAGTGAACGGCTAGAAGCTCTAAGAACAAATGAATCAAGGTTGAGTGTTGCATGTTTCATCTAGTTATGACTAGATCGGAGTCTTGCGTATTGGAAAAATCGTGTGCTGATTGGCTCACTAATGGCTGTGAACTGTCGGTTAGTTGTTCTTGCAAAGATGTACATGGCTTTGGATTTTCCATGGCTGCACCCCCAAGCTTAGAAGGTTTCAGCATTGCCTGTTCTACTGGCCTTCAAATGATCAGCAGAAGAAGCAGAGGATAATCGGGAAATTGCACGATCAATGCCATTTTGGTCACACTCATATCGACTATTCAGTCTTGATCATGCATCATTTGCATGTAGAGATTGCTTGGAAACACAACAATTACTCATGATTGTAGCTTGTTGTTGCACAAATACAATGTCTCCAAGACGTCAAGCTTCAAAAATAAGCCAAGAGAACTTGAATCTGAGCTTGTGGTTCGCTGATGCGAAGCATGTTTTGTAACACAAAGGAACAGCACCGAAAAAAGCAAGGTGTTGGTATTTCTTCATCAAAACTTGATTGTGCACTTGAGCAGGCAGCCACAGCTCTTAGGAAATTACGATACAGACTGCTGAAAAACATTGTAGGTATCATACGATGCAAAGCAAAACAATGACGGCACTGCCTTCGCAGAGTGGGTTGCTTAGCAAAAATCATTGATAGATAAAGTTTACTTGGTGGCCGTATTTTTAATTTTCTGAAGATGCTATTTCGAGTATGCAAAGCTGGACCCCCAGTGTCGAGTGGCACACATTGCGACCAAGGACTGGGGTCTGGAACGTGGCTGAAGGCAATATAGTGCCGCAGTTTTTAGTGTTGCTTATAAGCGCTTGTCTATACAGATACTTTTAGTCATTCCATAAAGGGCGCTTCATTGCTTCCAAAGGCGGTACTGTAGCATGTGCGATATTTGCAAGCACTGGTAGCAGCGAGAGCAACTTGACCACCGTTGGTTTACTGTGATGGCCTCAGAGATGTGGAGCATGATATCAGTACGCAGCGTTTGCTTTCTTTAATGCTTCGTTATTCGACATGATGATCATTACTGTTTGCTTACTCTGTTGCACAGTCGTAAGACTTCTCTCTCACGTTGATTTTTTTTTTTTTTTTTTTTTTTTTTTTTTTTTTTTGCGAGTGGTCCGTTGATGGTACAAAATTTGCGGCAGCCCCGAGGCGTTCTGCCGCCAGCACACAACTGCCCTCGATCGCCACTAAGGAGGCATACGGATTTTAAGAGTTGTGCAGGAAAGACATGTTTTTGTGCCACATTGCCCCTGCTTGCTTTCAATGCCAGCCCTTCATCATTTCACGGCACCAGCATTCTTCCAAGTTCATCCATTGTTTCACCTCTGCATTTCTTGTTTCACCGACGTTCGGATGTATGAGTGCAGCCTTTCCTACTCCGAGAATGTCTGAAAGCAAAAAAATTGTTTCCCATAACCCAACGTTCAAACTGTTTTTCGTTCATGCGTGCAACGCACGGGCCATTGATTTCTCGCTCATAACCAAACCTACACTAAAGGACACCGGAGCAGCAGCTTCGCACTGTACTCTCACTGACAAGAGTGTACGAACTATAGTTTTATTGAAGACCAAATAATTCTCAACATTTTGGATTGCACTTGTGCAATGAATGATCCATTGAAGCACAGACTTGAGAGAAAGTTCAGGACCTACTATTCAACTTCCTGTGTGCAAGAATGTTTTGACTTTTCTCTACCTCTGTGGCTCTGAAGCTTTCTTTCCAAGTCGGGTGCTGGTGTCGCCTGGGAGCAGTTTTCCATGATGACATGTCATCCAGTCATCTCGTTGGTGTAATTTTTTCGACGCTATAAAATTTTTGGAAAAGAATGAGAATGTAGCGTTGTTGGTCGTTTCAAACTTTGAGCAATATGTGTGCTTACCACGAAAGTGTTGCACTTTCGCTGCAGAGGATTTTCGTTGTCACAAGGAACGAAAAAGGAAAAGAAAACTGTATTTTTCACGCTTGTCTAGAGTTTGGCTGGACTTTCGCAGAGGTTTTGTTGTATGTCATTAGTCTCTTACCGGCAGAGCTGCGAGCCTGTGTGGCAGCTGTTTTTTTCCAAACCTCTGTTCTTCGGTCCTAGCCGTTGTTTGCTGCATCTGAACCTCTGAAGGTTGTGAACCACAGGCGAGTTGCTAGAATTCCTAGACATTTTTCAGAGCTCCCCAGGCGCACTTCATTTGCTCAGCAACTAACATTTTTTCTTTAGCTCTCATTTGCAGTTGCCACGGTGGAATGGAAGTTGGCAGCGCTCAAGCCAATTCTTGCAGCATATTGTCATATTGTAGTCTTTCAGGGAGAACATACTCCCTCGCATATGTGAGGCACCTTGCAATTTGTTGTTCTTGTTTTTTTAGTAAGGTTGATTGTGATGAGAACATTGTTTTTTTTCGTATGCGTTTTGTTACCGATGCTGACCGTGGCTGCGTAGGTAGGCATGTTCTAGTGAATTGTATAGACATCAATTGCAGAGCGACGCATACTTTTTTGTAGTCAAGGCAAGTTGAGTCGAGGCCATTTTTTTTTAGGGCACAACAATAAATCGACGTGTCAACAACTTGCCATTGCGCCAACGTTGGCGATGAGGGGGTATGTTTCATACCATCTTTTCTTTTAGACACTTTTGGCAACATCCTAGGAAGTGACGGGTTGAGGTGTAGCATGTTCTTTAAGGTTGTTGACACACAAAAAGAGAGTATGTCTGTTGCTTGTTGTATTTTAATATGTACGTATACTTTGTAAGGAATAAATGTTTATGCATGCAGCAAAGTGTAATGGCTTACTAGTCTTTTTTTTCTTCAGTTTTTCTCATTGAATATTTATTACATCATCAAGGACAATAGCATTCCAGGAGTGGGCATTGTGGTGCTAAAAAAATAGCTTAGTATAAAGTGCATCTTATGTAAAGAACGAGAGCTACAGGGTCCAGAAGACAACACCAGACAATGGAATATACCTACGTACGTACACATATCAAGTGTCTTCGTTGTGTCAGCAAAACGGATCAAAACGAATAAAGATGACCACCTTAGAACGTTAGACATCGAATGGCACTGAATAATGCGAGAACGAGACAGAATATAAAATCAAGGGGTGTAGCAACATATAAAATTGTGAAAACAGAAATAAAAATGAAATCATGGGCAAAAGGAACACCTTATGTCAATAATGGCAGCAGCATTACATAGAACAAGAACTGATAAAAAGATAGGGTTTCGCATTGCCACGTGTGTAAGTGCACATATATGTGTTATCTTTAATGTAGCGTTTTGCCATTTTTTGTCGGGTTACGCATTGCTATGTGCATAAGTGCACATACATGTGTTATCCTTAATATAGTGCTTTGCCATTTTTCGTACCCTCTGTGGTTTTCCCCATGTGGCATAAGCGTAAGCACAGTCGTTGCCTGGTGCCAAATATACACTTGTTGCTAGCACTGGCGGTTGCCGAATGTCGGCTACCAAAAGTGCTGCCAAAGGAAGAGTTGCCAGTGCCAGAAATTGGGGAACTGGCGAGCTTTACAGTTATGTCTGTTGAGGGGAATCGCTGTGTAGGAAACATGCAACAGCTGGGTTTGATTACAACTCAATGAAACGGAAACATGCTGTGTAGGCTGAATCACTGGCGCCTAGATTTCGGAATATAAAGCGTGTAAGTTCGTAATGTTAAATAACTGCACACAAAAAAGTGAAGCACAACAGTGCTGCGCAACCAGAAAGATTCGGTGGTAAACTCCCCCTACCTTACTAGGTTTCATAATGTGTACCTGCACAGTGCTCCGTAATTGAAACGCGATACCTGGAGCGTGTGACTACATCCAGATTCCAGTGGATAGTCGTCAGATCGTGTTGTTTCTTGGTGGTTATGGCGGAGCGCAGCTTGTCATGGCTTCTAATGACTGCTTTACCAAAAACATGTGCGCGCCACCATCTTTGGCTGTTAGGCCGTGAAAGCTCGTATGCACCAACCCAACCATTTGCATGCGTCCACCGTAACGCCGTTCATTTTGTTCAATATTCAAAACACAAAGGTTAAAAATATAGCCCATCATGTCAGCACTGAAAGCCCTACGTGGGGCGCCTCACGCCACCCTCCAGCCAGCGGGCGTGTACCTCTGACACATAGATACAGAGTTGATTAATCTGTGGGGTTTAACGTGCCAAAACCACCATATGATTAAGAGACGCCGTAGTGGAGGGATCCGGAGATTTCGACCACCTGAGGTTCTTTAACGTGCAATCACATCTGAGTACAACAGGCCCACAATATTTCCGCCTCCATCGGAAACCTTGACCAAGTCCAAACCTGCTGTAACGGGTGAACTTTTCACGTTAACTGTGTAGTGTGATTATAGCGAGTTCTTCTTTTGGACTTGGGTACAAGGGGCTGGCGCGAACGCCGAACCCCACTACCAAAAATTGCATGCCCCAGCTATCCCAGTTTGGGAAAGTGGCGTGCTTCAGCCACCCGCAGTGCAATGGGAGGCCTCGGCACGGAGCCCCGGCCATGCTGATCACCGGAGAGCTCGACACCAGGTAAGTATACCAATCGCTGCGCGCAGTACGAACCCCATCAATTTAGACCCCCCATTAAGCGCCAACTGGCAAGCTAGTTTGGTGCAAATACAAACGCGCTGACAACCACTTTATGTTTTCAATTTGAATACATCTTCACAAATTCGCAGACCGCGCATGTCTATAAAATGAAACAAGGCGATGGTATCTTTCTAAAAAATGTTTTGAGAAAAAACACTGGCAAAAACGTTGCATTTTTTAAGGAATACTACAAACGGCTGACCATCACGTGTACACGTGACCTAAACTTTATGATTGGTTGCTAAGCAGGGCGCGAAGTACGAGCGAAGCAGCGCGAAGTACGAGCACTGTCGGCTTACCGCACGGAAAGTAAAATTAATATTGTGCCTTTAAAAAGCGCGCACATGCACAAACTTCAACGTACTCAAGCACTTTCCGCAACCAATGCCAGATACACTGCGACTGCACATATCGGTACACGTATGGCGAGCTGCGCATCGTGAGAAAGGCTGATATAAATAGTCCATCTCTTTGAAGTCATATTGCGCTCCACAAACTTATGCCCTCTTTCCATGGCAATATTGAATGGTCTAAGTTCAACGAAGAACTCCTTGGCGTGAGCATTTTAGCCCATTGCCACAGCCACAAACTTGGGCGGCCTGGAGAAGTGGTGCCATCTGTCAGCGTTATGCGCAACCAGGCCAGCAGAAGAGAGCGCACAGGTGCAGTCTAGCCCGGGAGTGGCAGATGCAAAGCTCTATTCCGCTTGACCTTAACTCCGTTATCTGTGCGTGAGAATTTCCATTTACCTAAAGCTCGCACAATTTATGGGGAAATGACTGCTAAATTTGCTGGTGTGTCTGTGTGGAACTCAATTCCTTCTGAAATTAAACAATCTTTCACGACAAGTTCATTTTGCCAACAAACCAAAATACACTCAGTCACTGAACTAACTATAAAACATATTAGATATAGGTGCAATTAGGAAATTGAAAATGGTTCATTTTTTTTTACTTTCTGCTTGTTTTGCACTGCTTTGATGAATTGTATGTTATATGTGTAATAACGGTGTCGCTACTCCTACAGTGTAATTGGAGATGTACACCACCTCTAAAGAAAACGTAGTTTTATGTATGGTTTAGTTCTGCCCTTCTAATTATTGTAGACTTGTTGTTTATCTTCGCATTTTTGGAAATTGGGTGGAGTGTTTTCGTTCATTTTGTTCACGCTACACATTGTATTTAGACCTTTGCCACAACGCCGATTGTCTTCTGCATATTATGCATCATCTTATTCACAATGTGTTAGGAGGTCCCCCCCCCCGACAGTTTCTACACTGGGACCTCCTCATGTACTCCGCTTATCTGTTCATTTGTATGTATGCTTACCCTTCGATAAGCTTCAAACTTCAAACGCGTCTGAATCGTAGCTGCGATTGCCCGACAGCTCCTGTGAGGTGCATGTGGAGCGATCAGTCAGAGATATGGTGCGGCGCGGTCCCTTATCTGCGGACCATCTGCTGTTCCCGACTTTCCCAGTGTTCGTACTTCGCGCTGGCGCGATGGGGATGCCTTGCTGCATTTCCAGTTCTTATTAAGCAGTACGTCATACGTAGACAATACATATGGGCTGGTTTTGGTATTGATATTACGTACGCGTTTTTGCACATTAAAATTATTTTCGAAATGACTGAGCATTTCAGCTATCGGGCGCGCGACGATTCTGCCTCAGGAGCACAAAAACCCAATTACCTTGGCATGGCGAAAAAATAGCCGGAGTTGGCCTTCAAGCGTACTACGCAATCGGGAGGTTCAAGGTTCGAGGCTTTCTGCCTAGAAGTATATGAGCTCAGTAGCGAGAACTCTCCAACCGCGCCTCCCCGGGGATGCGTTCTACCGGTGAAGGGGATAACCGGGAAATTCTTACAACATATAACGAGCTCACTAAACATTTCTACCTGTCTAGAAAGATTTTCCCTCCACCTCACAAAAATCTAACCCGGCCCCAAGCACTTACATTAAGGCTTTTGCAAACGCGGATGTACCCTACTTTGAAAATGTTACACATCATGTACCCTGACCCATAATCTTTGTCCACATTGTGGGGAAATAGCTTCATTAGAACACATGCTCTGGCAGTGCACCAAATTCGCTCATATATCGAACATCACCTCTGCCAGATGGGAGGCGCCAATCCGCAGCTCGTCCTTGGCAGATCAGCTCTGGGCTGTCCACCAAGCCCGCGAGGCGGCTGAGGAGCTTGGCATCTCAGTCCCCACGTGGGAGCTGCCCGCAACACAGTTATCTGTGTTTTGGAGGACCAAATAAAAGCTTATCCAATCCAATAGCTACATACTTCAGGACTCGAGGTTTCGATACTTTGAAGTCTCGTCGTACTTGGAATGTTTGTGGTTCGAGTCACTATACAGAACGCTTTTTTAGGCAACGCATATTAAAAAAAAAAAAAAAAACATGACACTCAGGAACATGTCCTCCTCGCAGACGAACTTTAAGCCAAGGCGAAAGAACTTTGCCACACCTCAAGTTACACTCAAATGAGTGACAAAAATTTGTTAATGAATTTTCAATTATGAACGAGCGCCGTTGTTCATATCAGAGAGATGTAGGATGTGACAATTTATGTCATGCCCAGTTTTTTTTATTTAAGTCGTGAAGAAAACGCACGTAATTTGAGATAATAGTCATACCATAGGCGATACCGAAACTGAACGCACCTGGCGGGCAGCAAATGTTATGGTGGTAGTTATGGTCGCTCGGAAGTGGAATAAGACACCTAATTTCTGCAGCACTGTAGGGAGCAGGGCGCAGTGCCTACAAATGTAGCAGCTGCGCTAATGCCTCGTCAGAGGGTGGCTTTTTGACGAGGTGCCGAGCCCTCTCTCATACTGAGAGAGAGAGAGAGAGAGGGCGCGTGACTACGCGAACCTGCGCGCCCTTTTTCTACATATGAGAGAGAGTGCGTCGCCGTGTCAATAAGCCAAGCGTTGCAGCACGTACGTGTGGTCAGGCCTTTACGTGAGACCGATACGCATGTCGCGGTGGAATAGGGTTAGGAAAAAACGTCCCAAATATTCAAATGAACTGTTCGCGTTTAGTGCTCATGCATACGTGTTTCATTACCATCCAGCATACACGAAACACGGACAGAGAAGAAAACGACGACACAAGCGCTGACGAATTAGGCCAGCTACCCTCTTACGTAACAGTCGTCCGTAAAATTTTACGGACCACGTCTCTTCGCAACACTTCCGCTTCGATTGAGAGCACCCGAAAGGCATATCCCTCCCTTATTATATTGCCTCTCTGTTTTCTTACTGGCTAGAAAATACTTTCTACCTTTCACTTATGCACAAGACGCGCTTTTCTGCATCAGCGCCTACGATCGAGAGCACTTTACGAGCACAACTGTTATCCGTGGCAATCTTTATGCAATCTTGATTGCGCAGCGATACCTGGCCAACGGAGCGCCGCTCGAGGCAGGCTGTGATAGCTTTACCGTGCCGTAAAGATAGAAGTGCGACCCTCACACTGTAGATGAGTGTTTCGTGTCGAAATGCAAACTTACAAGGGGCTACGCGGCCGTAGAAAATAGGAAGACCAGTGAATAACAAGAAGAGCCATTTGCACTGTGGCCGACGGTAGGTGGCGCACCGCTAGGTGGCATGGACAGGCAGTTTGGCGCAACGTTACTGGATTACGTTGCGCCAAACGTTGGTAGGCGTTAGGATTACGGTAGGATTACGTTGCGTCTAGTAACGTTGGTTTGGCGTTAGTTTGGCAGGCGCTCGCATGGTCCGCAAACTTTTGTGGTTGACTGTACTTACACCTGTTTCTCACGCGCTGTATTCAAGACAACGACAATTTCCACCTGTTTTTTTTTCTCTTTTTATTTCACTGCGTAGCTTCAAACTAGGTGGCAGCCACTGCAGTGCTTGTTTTCGCAGATCAATAAGTTCTTTGCGCTTCTTTAGAGTTAAAACAAAAAAAAAACCGGATGAGCCGAATGTTACGGAGCATAGCGGCCATGCAAACGTCACGACATTTCACTCAAGCACGTGACAAGAAACCGTGTCGTGAAGTCACGGACCGACACTAGTTTTTTGAAAATAAGTTGTAATTATACTTTGAAGGTGCACTCGCGCTTACCAGGCCATTGTTTAGGCTCACGGGGGCTTGATGTTTCATTTGACGAAAAAAAAAAATGGTAAGAAATGACAATGGAACACATGGGTCAGTATCCCTTTAATATTACACGCGTCGTAACTTCAACAGAACCTAGTCGGCTTTCCTGACGATCTTCTCAGGCTTGGAGGCAGCACTGGCGCGTCGGAGACCGGTGTAACCGATACGAGAACTGCTGTAAGCGGAGTCCGAACCACTCGGGCAACTCGGCCTTCTTCAGACACGCCTCCGCAGTGGGCCGTCGATGTTGACACGATGCAAGCGCTCACGATGCGTTTAGGCCGAAGGACTGCATCGACGCTGCTGGCATTGGGCGTTCTCTGGGAACGGGGTAAGGCGTCATTTCTGGTATATCGTTATCTAATTCACCTCACCGCGTTAACATTGACAGGTCGGCTTTTAGCACCGCACTATACAACAGGCATCTAAATAGCAAGGCCGAAAATACCCTGGTATCATTGGCGGAGAAACGCGCTTTAATGGCCTCGCTTTTTTTCTCTCTTTTTTTTGTTGTTGCCACGCCGTTCTAAAGCTGGAATTGCGTGCTGGAATTAATAGCCCACCGGGCGTGTGGTTATTCACAAAAAACTAGTAATAAAACTAATGTAAGTAAATCACTAAAATTGGAAGAGGTGTTCGGGGCGTTGTCATTTAATAGAGCTTTCAAAACGAAGCTAAATAAAACTTCGAAGGATTGGACAGTTTAAAAAAAAACGTGTAAAGGCGATTTAAATGCTCCTGCACTCCCCAACGCCGAACTTACGTACGACACGTCGTTGCTTTTGAGCGGAAGTAAGAAAAAAAAGTAAATACGGAATTCCACTGTCATTTCCCCGGCTACACGACATATTGTTTTGGTTGACGTACAGGAATGTTTATTTATAGGGCGAGCTGGACGCTCGGCTAATGGCGTCGTCGGTGGTCTGCGTCAGCTCACGCCTTCGTCCGACTCAGTTCACACACGGTGCAATGTACAGGGTGTCCCACACACCTTGAGCCAAGAATGTGAAAATGAAAGACACTTCAGTGGCGAATTGAACCTAACGCGTACCACTCGCACTAGCGATAGGTACTCAGGCTATTATTTATTTCTCTATATACTGACGAATTATTAATTCTTAATTACCCATTTTTAAATATCTGCTGTAAACCCAAAATACAAAACACTGAGATGTAGAGCGCTTTCAGAAACCACCGACTAAATTGTCTTCTGTACGATACGCCTAGCGCTGTTATTTTTTCCGCGTTGTAAAGAAAGCCTATAGCAGCACTATGACAGTGCGCTCGCGGTCCGTCACACGGATTTTTTTTTTCCAATTTTGCGGGCTTCTTTAAAAATTGGAAAAAGAAATAACAGCGCGAGACGTATCGTACAGGAAACAATTTAGTCGGTGGTTTCGTAAAGTGCTCTACATCTCGGTGTTCACATTTTGGGTATCCAGCCCATATTTAAAAAAAACAGGTAATTAGGAATTATTAATTATTTAGTATGGGGAGAAACAAAAATGTAGCCTGAGTACCTACAAGCTAGTGCGAGTATTATGCGTGTGGTTCAATTCGCCTCCTATACGCGCCTTTCACTACCAAATTCTTGGCTCAAGTTATGTGGGACACCCTGTACAACGAACCATATAAAAACTTCAAACACTGAAGGTTGACACAAAGTTGTTGCGAATCGGTGGCAAGGAGAGAGTTTGTTCATGTTGTTCCATTTCATCGTTACACGATCGTTCCCACGCGATGCGCGCCATGGTTTTGTGAGCACTTTGTGCAATTATGAAGTTGAGAAGCAATAGAGAGTTTTAGTACTGCGGAATGGTACTACTTACGCATCACGCAAGCGCCTTGCGTTACGTGGCGTCGTTTGCCACTAATCGGCTTTTAGTACGCCGTAGTACCCGCGTACGTAACGAGCGCGAAGCGTGTTGCGCCATCTGGTAGATCAAAATAGAAGCACGTGTTATTGACAGCCAATGTGAGCCAATCCAAGTGTTATAGCCAGATTATGGCCATATTTTGGGCCACAGAGCCGCTCGGTGTTTGCCTTCGATGCCGCCATTTTGTAAAACGAAGTCTCGCGCTTTCGCGAACTTGTTTGAGAGCGCGCGATCACCTCATACGTACGCACGCACGCATCTCATGCGTGCGTGCGTAGCGGCTGCGTACGTAATGTGATACGTGCGCGTTGCGGTCTGCGCACTACGCAGAACGTGGCGTCCTTACGTACGCAACGCCGCCACGTACGTAGCGTACGCAGTACTAAAACTCTCTAATATCTTTGTAAACATCGTAAACATGATTCAGTGTTACCACGAAGCATCCATATTAACGCGACAGCGTCAAAAAATCTCGTTCCGCAGGAATTCCGGCGTCGGTGGTGCACGGCGTCCTTGGTTGTGAGCGAAAAGTAACGATCTTGTGCGTGTCCGAAAAATCGAGAAAGATGCAAAATCTGAGTGAAGTTCCACACCCTGGTCGTTTTGCGTGGCAAGCAAGTGTTCTACGACACGGCCACCTGCCTGCTCCGTAATGCGGTCAAAATAACTTCCTATGCTTGAAGATGCAGTAAAAGTAACTTTCATGACTTTCACAAACACACGCTTCCTGTATGCACGATTCACAACACGACATGAAGTACTGGTGTACTCATGCGTGGTACAAGCGTATATCGCCACGTGGTGTCAGAACATGCGTTTGTCATAATGAATTTATAGTTAAAAGCTGGCCACCCACTACAAAAGGCGCACACATCACTGCGCCTATTCTCTTCAAGCCACGTAGCTGGATGAATTTGAAGCTATAATTGCCCGTGGTTCAAAGCGTGCTACCCATTACACACAATGCAGCCGCATGCGAAAGCGTGACCGACACAAACCGCTTTTAATTTTGTAGATTACACCGTAGTTATCCACAATTTAAACTTCTCGACTAACATCCTACAATAATAAAAAAAAAACATGCGTTCAGTGTTTGAAGTATACATGCACTATATCGCTGTCGCGTTCAACTCTCAAAGGCGAAGCTTAGAAATCGTCCGATTTCTGAACGGGATTATGAAGTCGAATTGTCATATCCATTCTATTGTCGCTAGATCACTGCATTTCAATACCGTTCGGCTCAGCTCATCTTTCTCCTCGAGCCTCATTCGCCTACTTTCTGTAACGGCGTACGAAGATGTCCGGTAATAACTTTGGCGAGAATTGAACATGCCGTATTTAACAAGGGTAAAAGCTGGAAAGAATACGTAAACACGTTATTTTGGAAAGCGTATGAGTGTTTTTGTTGTCTTTCTGGGAAAGAACAACGAGGTTCAGAAGTGGTACTGTTGAGGGCAAGAGCAGAAGATGCACTTTACATATATCGAACTCAGGTGAAAGCTTCAACGTGTTCGTAGTATGGTTTCAACGCGTTTGTAGTATGGTTTCTTGCTATGTTCCGTTTTTCTTGTCCTCTGTAGACCTATTCCGAGAAGGCTCCCTAGGCGCGGCCGTAACCCTCTGTTGGCCGCACTAAATAAGCGTGTCCCCCCAAAATGCACTGCCACGCTTATGACGTCCGTCTTTGTACTCCGGCGTGTAGATGGCGGCGTTTTTTCCCCTCCAGTGAAAAGGTCCATATATGCGACATTTTCAGAAAAAAAGAAGGAAAAAGCGTTTGAGCAAAGTGCGAAAAACCGTTGCAAACTAACATATTCACTCGAATATCGGAATAACTCTACTAGTGTTGGTGGCTAACACTGAATGATTTTGGCTAACCGTTATTGGCTAGAGTCGGCTAACGTGGCGTACCGTTGGCTAACACTGGCTATCTAGTGCTGTGAGTTATAACTGTAGTGTGATCAGAAGTGCGTACCTGAACCTCTCGTCGTTAGTTATGACAGCAACACTCTTTTCATTTCACATCAATCAATGATCAAGTGGCCTACAGTTTAGTGAATTGTACTTCCAGGGCTAGCCTTATCGCCGATCTCGAGATGTCACGTGACGTGATCGCGCTTATAACGAAGTGCTAGATACAGGTCTGAAACAGGGCTAACAATGCTCGAAATCCGGTTAATAAAAGCGAAGGAAGTCTTGAATAGTTTATTTAACAGAAATGACCGATAAACAATAATTGACCTAAAATGGTTAAAAATGCCTCTCAAACATGTCGCTGTGCGTGCCAAGCGAGAGATGGCGCCACCGCCTTGCCAAGCGTGCGCTTGCTCCCCCCCCCCCTCTCACCCGTCGCTTCTCTGGCACCTTCATCGCTACATCTGATTAACAAGCTGACGTAACTCGCTGCAGACGACACGTATCTGAACTGCCGTAGTAAGCAGGAAGTCGATAAAACGCAGAAATAGGTATAGTTTGCTAATCTCCTTAGCAAGGTTCCACTCACGCCGAGGAAATTCTACATTCTTATTCCAACAATCGGCGGTTTGTTAAATGCGAACTCTACAAACGGGCATCGCTGGGTGCCTGTGCCAGGCACTTCAGCACGTTTCACAGTATTCTTTATTGTTTATTCTTTATTCGAAGTATACCTGCAGCGCCCGAAGGCGTTATAGCAGGGGGGTTACAGATTCGAAAGAAACAAATTTTCATTTACAGCAGACGCTTGTACACTTGTGAGCCCATTCCACTCATGTATTGTTCTGACAAAAAAAGAATTTGCAAAAATTCCAGTCCTGGGACGGTATTCCCTCAGTTTAAAAGGATGATCAATTTGATTTGACAAATAATACGTCGTCTGTAAATACATATCCTTATTGATTCCACTTGTATTATTAAATATTAGATATAAAAGTTTTAATCGCAATTTTCTTTTACGCGATGAAAGCAGCTCCCAATTCAATTCTTGTTTCATCGCGGTAGAGCTTTCCCGCCATTGATACCGTCCCAGGACGAACCTTGCCACCCTGTTCTGTATTTTTTCTATCTTATCACTAAGATATACCTGCGCCGGATCCCACACAGCGCAGGCGTACTCTAGGACTGTGGAGCGTACTCTAGGACTGTGGAGTATAGCGGAGCTGAACTTAGCACATGGTTTAAAACTAGTCGCTGCGCAAGATATTTATTTATACCTCATTTCGCCGCGTTGCATGTGTTTTTTTTTTTTTCGAAACGGTCACGCGCAGTGAGCCGTGTGCAATGCATTGACGCTCGGAGCAGCAACGAATTGTGGCGACTCCGGAACGACCTCCTGGGAAAGGGTTACGACACCGGAACTAGGCCTGCCACGAACGCCAACGATACGACGCAGGTGGTTGTGAGTTTCGGCACTGTCGACGGTCCTTACCTGGTGAGTGATTATCATTACATTGTTACAACAACACGCGTTTTTAAAAAAGCATTTTAAAAGCATATATTTTAAAAGCAATTTTAAAAAGTAAAACCACCTAATTTCCTTTTTTCAAGTGTGTATTGCCAATTCCGTCGTTGCTGCATGAACACATAAAAACTTGTCGAAACACTGATACAGTGAGGAGAGTTATATAAGGCCTGGCGATTAGGATTTGATGAATATAGGTCTAGGTCCCCGGGTGTAGGTCCCATGCTGTAACTTTCAATTACAGGCTATGCGGTGCCTCGGCCTCAAGTTAGGAGTCAGTTCCTACCTACCTACCTACCTACCTACCTACCTACCTACCTACCTACCTACCTACCTACCTACCCACCTACCTACCCACCTACCTACCTACCTACCTACCTACCTACCTACCTACCTACCTACCTACCTACCTACCCACCCACCCACCCACCCACCCACCCACCTATCTATCTATCTATCTATCTATCTATCTATCTATCTATCTATCTATCTATCTATCTATCTATCTATCTATCTATCTATCTATCTATCTATCTATCTATCTATCTATCTATCTATCTATCTATCTATCTATCTATCTATCTATCTATCTATCTATCTATCTATCTATCTATCTATCTATCTATCTATCTATCTATATATCTATCTATCTATCTATCTATCTATCTATCTATCTATCTATCTATCTATCTATCTATCTATCTATCTATCTATCTATCTATCTATCTATCTATCTATCTATCTATCTATCTATCTATCTATCTATCTATCTATCTATCTATCTATCTATCTATCTATCTATCTATCTATCTATCTATGTTCATCATAATGCATCCAGCAAATATTTTTGTTCCAGTGTTTGCATATACTGAAGATGAAAAAAACTTATTTTTGTATGTATCTGATTTATTTCTTTCAATCGTCTCATCGAATGACAGTATCCGGACAGAGAGCTGTTCTACGCAGATGTCGGTATATGCTTGGTGAGTGATTCTGTAACTCTACATGTTACGCCATTTTTTATTGCGCGTCGCATGACTTGCACGCTGTCTGTATGACATCCTGTGTTGCATGCTGCCTGAGAGATGTCATTAAACTACATGTTTGTGAAAATAATAAGGGTGATCTTAAAAGACAAGAAGACAGCAGAGTTAGAGTGTAGCAGAGTGGGTCAGGGAACTAACCGGGGTTAAGGATAACATAGTTGAAATCAAGAAGAAGAAATGGACAGGATAACCGCTGGTCATTAAGTGCAACTCACTGGATTCCTAGAGAAGGCAAGCGGGTTAGAGGGAGACAGAAGGTTAGGTGGGCAGATGACATCATGAAATTTGCGGGTGTAAAGTACTGGACGGAGCAGAAAGCACAGGACCGAGTTGACTGGCGGAACGTGGGAGAGGCCTTTGTCCTGCAGTGGTCATAGTCAGGCTGATGAGGACGTCCGGCGTGGGAGGATAGCGAAATTTATGATCGAATCAAATATGAATCGAATAGTAATAATACCAAATTGAATACAAATACGAATTGAGTATTGTTTGAAAAGTTTCCGAATAGAAAAGTAAAAATTTTCCCGACACGCCTAGAATTCAACAAATGTTAATTTAAGACAAATATTCACAAACTTTAACAAAGTAGCATTATCGCTACATTCTATCGAAAAACAAAAGGCACCACAATAATGTAGACCGTATATCTATAGCAACGAAAGCCTTCGAAGTATTTTTTTTTCGACTGTAGCATCAACATAGCAGTTACATCTTATTCTAAGTGGTACTTTGTCACCAGCATTTCAGTAACACTAAGGTCTAAAATTTTAACATTTCACCAATGTACATCATGAATCTCATTTAAACGGTTGGGCACTGAGGATAAGTTCGCTTCACCGACAGTGGAACTTTAGACAAGAATTGCCTTCCATGTGGTTATAAGTAGTTTTGATCTTTCCGCAAACGATATTGGTAATTCACTAAAACAATGGAAGTCACCATTTGCTGATCCAGCGCATTGTACATTTTGCATGTTTTCGTGGTTTTTGATTATTTGAAAAAGTGTGCTGAAAAATCGTTAGTCCGTACATGCGCCAAATTTGATTACAGTACCGAATCGAATAGAACGATATTCGATTCGTTACTCGGAATTTTCGAATATTCGCACACCCCCAAAGTTGTTTGTAAGTCGGGAGATCGTCGAACAGCAAGTGTGTGTTATAGAGCGAGAATATCTGCAAAATGACTTGTCGGTGTCAGGTCCAGAGGAACAGGTCCTCTCGCCACAACTATGGCTTCAATGACCTTGAATGCTTAACAACGCCTCATCGCTTCAAGCCTCCAACGTCTCCTACTACTCTGTTTCTTTTTAAACTAGCTTGGGAACATATCAATAACCTGCGCACTTGTCACAGTAAACACCGAGTCATGCAAAAACAAAATACGATAAAAGAATTGTCCAGTTTTTGCCACTCCTTTCTTTTTAAACAAGCGCCAGCTCCACCCATTCTTCGGAACTTCGTACTATCTTATTTACACGACTGTAAGCCGACACGAACGTAGAGGTCGACCCGTTAAAATCACATGTTTTATTATTACTTTAGAGTAATGGTAGGGATAATCACTTTGTGATTGCTGGGGTAGACCGTGGTTGATCCGCAACCATATTAAGCAAGATGGATTTTGATCCTTTTGTCAAGGATTTCATTGGCGCTGTTTTTCTGGTGTCCTCGCTTTTCGTAGTTTCCCCATGACAGTCTGAATGGACTGAATTGGTTGCTACATAGGTCTCCCTTACATATATTTGAACGCGGGAAGCACTTGCGGGCAGAAGGAAGCACTGTTGGACGTCATTCGAAGTCCTCGCGCTCAGTGCAATGCATGCGCAGCCAAATATTTACCGGGAACACGTTGGAGGATGTTCCCATTGTTCACATGCTCCTTATCGTCCAGCATTAGGTTTCTGCTTGTTTTGTGGTAGTCTGACACTGAAACGAACACGCAGATTTATGATAGATGCCTGATTGCAAAGAAATATGTGTGACTTGCCTGCAATTGGGAAAGGCTTTTGTTTGTGAAAGGGTATCGGTTGGTCATGAATTGATCATTGTGTTGGCGGTGACTTTTTGGGCGTGTCGGTAATATATGATAAAAACTAAAAGTGCACAATTCAAGGATAAAGCATAGCTTTGAAGCTTTGAGGCATACGAGCAGCGGGTTTGTTCTCAAACCTCTTATCCGTCCTCCTCTTGGTAGCTAGGTAATAAGCTTTATTAAGGATCCAACGAGTAATTACTGACCCGGGCTAGGCCTCCGAGACCTGTAGTCCGAGGAGCATCGTGCGATGCCTTCGGCGATAGCCCTGGTTCTCTCGTGCACATTTAGTTTCTCACACATTGGTGAAGGA